TGGAGTATGAAGGAGTATATCAACTAGGAGTATGATCAAAACTGTACCTGTTGCTTCTTGTAGCATACTGTCATCTTCTTGGAGCATATTGTCATTATCATCAGCTTCTTCTTCGAGCATATTGTCATCATCATCTGCTTCTTCTTGGAGCATATTGTCATCATCATTTTCTTCTTGGGGCATATTATCATCATCATTTGCTTCTTCTTGGACCATGTTGACATCTGCTCCTTCTTCTCCTGCAGGTGGTGTGCAGTTCAAGTCTGGGAGCACCATACTGTTTTGGTGCTGTTGCTTCTATAATTACTCTGAAATTTTCCAAAAAAGCAAGTTTAATACTCCAAAAGGGGAAAAACAAACAAACCATAGATCTTATCTCTAGGTTGCTTAACCATGAAACAATGTATCTTCTGCAACGTACTCCTGCATTTAGTAGTAGTAATGCCATCTAGATAATCCTAGATAATGCAAGAGTAGTAGTAACTGAAACTTCTTGTGAATTTAACTGAAACTTCTGCATTTGTACTCTGTAAGATTCTAGCTATAGAGATAAAATGCTCCTTCATTTGATTAGCATTTAACAACAGTAACGTTTAGATTGGTTGCAACAAACAAAATACAGATATATCAATGAGTAAATTTCTTATTAATATGGTCCGGTTGCAACAAAAAAAATTAAAACAAGGTACTGGTACTCATTTGGTCAATCTGCTACTGTACTCATTTGACAGATTTGTATTTTGACATAATCCATTTCATAGTGATGTTTCTTGACACACAAGTGATACTGTGCAGACAAGCGACAATTCTTCTGTGCAGTAGGAGTACAATACTCTGTATTTTGACAAACAAGTGCAGCATCTCATGTGTGATTATGCATTTATCTAAATCTATGCATTTAATTGAATCTATGCCGAATTTAACTGATCCCTGTACTGATACTCCAGTCTGTTTGCAGAATTTACAGTAAAATTTACTCCAGGGAGCAAGATCACATTACTGCAGTTAGGTACTCCCAGCTGTAGTTCATGATTTACTTGAGCAAGATCACATTACTGCAGACAAGTACTCCATGTTGTAATTCATGATCTTACTGTAACTACAGCATGAGAACATGGAGTAATTCTTCTGTAAATACATCTGTACATTCATGGAGTAATTTCTGTTGTTGTGCAAGGGGCGAGGCAAGGAGAACATGCCTGGAGACCACGTGCTGCGTAGTGACGAGTCAGGTGGGCTGGGCACGGCGAGGACCAAGCTGAGGGGGCGGCGACCAAGCTGGGCGCGGCGGCGACCAAGCTGAGGCGGAGGCGACCAAGCTGAGGCGGAGGCGACCAAACTGGGTGCCTGGGCGCGGGGCCGAGCGCCTGGAAACAGGGCCGAGCGCCTGGATGATGGGGACGATGCGTGCTCGTGGAGGAGGGGGACGACGCAAGCTACTGGAGGAGGGGGACGGCGCAAGCTTCTGGAGGAAGACGACGACACGAGCTCCTGGAGGAAGACGACGGCACGAGCTCCTGGAGGATGGGGACGACGCGAGCTCCTGGAGGATGGGGACGACGCGAGCTCCTGAGGGATGGGGACGGCGCGAGCTCCTGGGGGAAGGGGACGGCGCGAGCTCCTGGGGGATGGGGACGGCGCGAGCTCCTGGAGGAGGAAGACGACGCGAATTCAAATCGAGGGTAAAAAGGTCTAATTCGCCATTTGTCGGCTGTGTCCTAAAATTGTAAACGCTCTTATAAAAGTTTACAGAGGGAGTACGATGCAGGAATACAGTTCGGTACAGCAAACCAAAACAGGTGTGCAGTATAGCAGAGTCGAAACGTTCAGAGCTCCCCTTTTTCAGTACAGCACCCATAAGAAGATCAACAATGAAGGGTGGGAGGAGCTGCTCTACTGAAACACTTATTTCAAACAAACAAAGATGCTCTACCATTTTTTTTAAATAAGGTGCTCTACCTTGATGGATATGTTCAACACTTATTTCCACTTCATCTGTTCTGTTTACTTTTCCTACATGTTCAGTCAGGCAGAAACATGTCTGCTATAAATGATCACTTGCAGTAGCATACAATACAGGTCAAGGCAAAGATGAGATGTCACAAGTGTGTAACCATTCCAAGATAGACAGTATACCAAATGTAAGAAACTATAAAGATTCATAACAATGTTTAACGGCACCTGATACAGCAATATTAAGTACATTGGACAGTCTGGTAAACAAAGTTTACGAGAATGTAATATCACAGACCCCTAAACGTTGGGCAGCTCTTGAAAGTAACATGGCAACTAAAACATCTAATCATTAAACATCAGATAGAATGGTTTGACACCTGATTCGTTCAAACGATGGCATCGTCCGCAAGGCTCCGGAACATTTAACTTGACTGTAGAGGGAACATTCCCCTCAATGTATTTTTTCACAGCCAAGACTGATTTATGTGCCTTCACTATAGCTGTAGTTGTCAGGGGACTGCATTTTCTGCCCGGTTTACTGCCAGAACACCTGTAATTAGCTGGACTAGCATCCACTGTAAGGGACTCAAGTGACATTGCATTCTCGAGAAGATGACATGTTAGCTCAACCATGCTCTTTTGGGGGAAGAAACCAATGATCTTCACACTCTTGAGGCTCCCATGGCAGTGTTGTGGCATTCGCCTCAGAGACGAGGGATCTCCCTCAAACCAGTCATCCATGGAATGCTCGATTACCTTAAGATCAAAAGCCAAGGTATTTAAATTGATGATCCAAACATGGTTATTAGACAATTTGCAGGATGAACAGTCATTTGTTTCCTTTTTTGAAGAAAGGGTGAACAGCAAACTTACATACAAGCGAAACGTCTCGAGGGAAGGAGAAGCATCAAAAAAATGAACCAACGACAAAAAATCGTAGTCCTGGAGAAAATATGATCCACTAATAAGAAAAATACTCAAGAACTTGAGGTGGAGGAACTTGCTAGATGCCAGTGAGGAATTGACTATCTGCATCTATGTTTTCAAGGCGTCCAGGCGCTTTAAGGCGCTGGGGGGGGCGCCTCAACGCCTAGGCGCTCAAAGCGTGAGGCGAGGCGACGCCTTAGACACTTATTATTAGGCGCTAGGGGTACTAATATGGCAGCCATGAGTGGACATGTAACTGATTCATACCTTGAATTTCCTGGTTGTTGAGCCCACATAGCATCCATTCCTCCCATCTTGTTTCCCATTTCTGCCTTCCACAATAGAAATCTGCATAAAGATGAACATATATCATATATGGTTAAAACTAAACTTAATTAATAGATCACCATTGGTAAAAAAACAGAGTAGATGACAGAGCAAGTGCAAAACAAGATGACAAACATGAGTGCATTACATATACTAAACAGAGGGCTAGCTTAGAGGCAAAGCAGTGAGGCACAAGCAGCAGCACCATCAGAAAACATGGGCAGGTGAGGGGAAAAGAGAGGCAGAGAGGAGCCGTACCTTGGGAGAGGGCTGCCGGCGGCCGAGGAGCTTGGCCGGAGAGGGGGATGGCCGGCGGAGATGGATCTTGGCCGGAGAGGGGAAGGGCCTGCGGAGGAGGAGCTTGGCCGGACAGGGGGAGGCCGGCGGAGGAGGAACGGATCTGGGCCGGCGGCGTGAGAGACTGAGAGGAGAGAGCTCCTCTCTCTTTTCCCCTCGATTTGGAGTCACAGGTGTGTTCCCCTCTCTCTCCTGCCTCTGTTTACCCCCTCTCTCCCGCCCAATTTCTCTTCCCTCCCGCCAATTCCTCTTTCTGGCGCGCGCCAGCTGCTGGTTCCCGCTCAACCTGCCCGCGCATGTCCAGGGCGTCCAAAATCAAGCAAAGCGGCGCCTTGGACGCCTAGGCGACGCCTTGGACGCCTCAACAGCACAAGGCGGACGCCTTAGACAAAAAACTAAAGCGACGGCGACGCCTTGACGTTCGCGAGCGCTCTGACGCCTAGGCGTCGCCTAGGCGACGCCTAGGCGACGCCTTGAAAACATAGATCTGCATAAAGATGACTCAGGTTAATTATTCCAAACATCCGGCTACTGTTATATGGACGTTCGCCAACTTAAGAGCAAGACCATACCTCATGAGAAGATTGTATGTTAAGTGTCTCAAGATTCGGCACACGTGAAGGAAGGTTCTCAATAGCATAATTGATGGCATAACCCTGCCTCAACTGCACGTCCTTCACTTTCGACTCTCCAAACGAGACTTGCACCAGTTCACCTGCTTCAAGGTAAAATCTGGAGAGATTTGGAGCTTTGTTCTCTATCACTTGAAGATTCGTGCATCCAGACACCTCCAGGAAGCTGAGCCTCTGCAGCAGGCAAGGTATCTCCAGGCGAACTATATCATCACAATATACGAGCTTCAGGTGTTCCAAAGCAGTGGAACTGGACAGAAGGCACCCTAACTCCTCCCCCGTAACACGCACATCGCGCAGATGCAGAGTTTTCAGGCTTCTCAAACCAAGTTGAAATGTGGGACGTAAGGCACATCTGAAAAGGAGAAGCTTCTGAATCGAGCCCCCACACCTGTCAGATAGTAGTGTGCATGGGAAATCAAAGCTCGCCTCTTTCGACCATACTAGAAGCTCGAGTTCTTTGGTCCTGGGCGTAACAGCCATCTGGAGCCAGCTATCAAGACGATGATACGATTCAGCACCATCAGGAGGAACGTGGTAGTCAAGCTTGAGTTTCGTCACGGCATCAGTACACAAGCGGTTCCTCAGAACACAGTCAATTTTGTTGTTGTAGTCTCTTATAATAGCGTTCGATCCCGCTGCTTTTAAATCTTCTTTGGGGCACATCGTTTCGTTGGTGAAGGTGAGATTGGGGTGGCATCTCCAGGAGTGTAGGAAGGAGCGAGAAACACAGGCGGCACGGGCAGCATCTTGCATTGGTAGTAGGAAGTGTATACGACACCAAATGTCCTGCACGCGTGCACAAGTAGAGAAGATCATCATGAGAAATAGAGAGGTAAAAGCTGGGAAAGGATGTTACAATCAGCAAGATTCAGCCAAGGTTAGGACTTAGGAACAAGAATGACATGAACAGGAATGCTGTAATGATTTTCTATTTAGCTATTCTGCTGAGAACATACCTCTGGAAGGTCTGGGCCCGGATATCTGGCTTCTTTGCCACCATAGGAATTAACATCCGGTCGGCAGGGTGGGCTGTTTCTTTCGGATAATGAAGAAGCATTCCATCCATCTGCAACAAATACATCAGTGTTATGATCAGTACAGACAGGGATGAAAGGAACAAACGAGTTCAAGCACAAGCAAGGAAAGTGAGATCCCCAATGCGAACAGGGCTCTGAAGAAGTTCCTTTTTTTCCATATACCAGCAAGGCACACAAAGGGGTAATTAAGTAACCAAAGAAGGGCCGAAGGGCACGGACGAGTTCAAGCACACGCAAAGTTGGATCCTCTGTCTGATTCTCTGCAGGAACACAAACGGAATCTACAATCTACAAGACGGATATCAAATCGTGTGAGCACAGGTGTTTTAACAAAGCAACGCCTGCAATTTCCTTCAATCTCATATAAACCTAGATCCCTTCTCCCCCAATGCGGACCGACATGGCTCCTAAATAAAGTTGTTTTTTGCTTATATAGCAGCAACTTGCATATGAATTAATTTCAGCTAGCAATCAGATCAAATACAAGATCATATAACACTATAGCACGACATGGCATAGTTATGAAATAGTAAAACATGTCTGCCTATAGTAAATTTGGTAGAGATAGAGAGCACTAGATAAATCAATGTGCCTAGTTCACAGTTCAGAAAAAAGAAAAATTAGCATCTTCCATGTATAAACTTCATGCAATCAGCACCGGGAAAATTTCTTGTTCCATGTATGGTTGTAATAAGATGTTGAACAAATATGGGAGAAAACCTTTGATGAAAAAGAATAGCAGGATCATTTTATGACTTGAGATGAAATGTATCCATAACTACATACATGTGTCAGCAGGCTAGAGTTGTCCAGGACAATTCTTGCTTAGTACTACCACAACCGCCAGAATTCATGACACATGCGGACATGCCCTTCCTTGTACCTCTACACCTAGTACTACACATGTCGACCTATGTCTCGACCTAAAGGATCACAAAATACCTACCTCACGATCCATGGATGCAAGCTACAGTGCTATCTAGCACAAGCAAAAAGCTACTGTTCTCGACGAATCCAAAGGGGAGATGGCGCGGGATCTTTACCTGGGGGGAGAAGAGGATGAGGAGCTGAAGAGAGCATCGGCGGGATTGGAGAGAGAGTAGAGGAGGCGCCTCCGCAAGGCTCCGCTGGGTCCCCGGCGCTCCCCGACGGCGGCTTCTTCGAGAAACATGGCGGCGCCATGGAACGGAGGGAGGATTGGCAAGGGGAAGCGATGCGGGCAGCGACGGCGACCGCGAACGCGCAAGGATTGGGGAAGGAGAGGCCCAGGAGGCGAACAGGGAAATGTGGTCAGGTCAGGCCGCTGGTGTTCATGGGCCTTCCTGGGCTGTCCACTTGCGCCACTTATTTTTCTGGATATCCACCAACGCCATTT